AGAAGATTAAGGAACAACACAATCTGCAACATTAACTGAAATAGATAATTAGATAATTTTAGCCTAGCTTATACCGTCCGTTATACATTAAACGCGCATGCATAAACATATTATGCGCATGCGTAAAGTTATTATGTGCATGCGTAAATGCATTATGTGTTTATGCTTGAGCAGAAAGTTTGTAGCTTAGAGGTCCGGATTATAGATCATTCCAGTATATGGACATCCGGATTAAAGACTTTGTACTGTATAATATAAAGAACATTATTTGAAAAAAGAAATGATTGTGACTTTTTCCGCTTTCGGAAAAGGAAGATAGGTTGCCATATATTAAGAAATTCCCGAAATGAACTATTCTTGACGCAAACTGAAAAAAAGCAGCAACATAAATTTGTGAATTTCTCCATAAATTTTGCAAAATTCCATATTTAGGCATAATTTGAGTCATAGAATTAAAATATGAAAAGGAAATGGTATGTTATTTCAGAAAAGTCCAATTTTGTGTTAAAATAACTATGTTAGAATAGAACTATATATAAATCTAATATATATCCTACGTCGCGCTTTCAAGGCCTGAAGAACATTATTTGAATTTCGTCAATCGGCCCAGCAGAATGGGAGATATAGAACCGTCTCCATTTATTTTATTTTTTTTTCCGCAGTGTACATGGACACAGAGTTTGTGCAATTCTTTGATGTTTTTCAAGCGAATATAGATCGTTGTGTACAAGGGAAAATGAAGCAGTGTGTGTGATGCTGAGCAGTAATGTTACGTATTTTATGTGCAATGTTTAACATATCGTTTGTGTATTTTAAATTTGTACTGTTGTTTTAATTGTAAATTATATTTGAGACATCTTTTTTCATTTAAATTCTATTTTTAATTGTTTGGTTTTGATATGTTGATAATGCTTTCCGACTTACGATAAATATCGATAGTCCGACAATTTACTCAACAGTAGCAAAACTGTAAAATTGACTTTAACTTGAGCAACTTTTACCTTATTATTTTAATACGTAGTGTTTGCTACCATAATTGCACTAGATAATATGAGTTCTTTGACAGTATGTGCGTGTTTAAGTGAAGCACTGCTTAGTGTTCTAAATTTGTAATATGTATTTTTTTATAATATTTTCTTTCATTGTGAGAAATAATTTTTTTTTATTTATTAATGTGTAGAATTCTAGTATGCCTACAGAGAATATGACGTGATTTAGGAGTTTAAGAAACTGATATGAAAGCTGTGTATAATGTTCATATAGAATAAAAAATATTTCTCTTTTTTTATTAATGTAAACTTTAAAATTTTTAGAAAATAATGAAAATTGTCTAGTTACTGGTATGTAAGGGATTGTGTCGTTGCGCAGCAATAAGGTAATTTGTAAAAATAAATTGAAATGTTTCACAATATGAATTTTAAAAAATCTTTTTTATTTGTATAAATGCTGAAGCTTAAAAATTTTTGAAAATACTGAAGCTGTATATGAAATACAAGTATTAGAGACTGCGACGTTGTTTATCGTTTTAATGATTGGTAGAATTCGCTTACTGTATTATGGTAATTTTAAATATAAACAATTTATTATACTTATTTTCAGTAACGCCTAAGCTTAAATGTAGGAAATGTAAATTTAAAGTAAAGAATTCAATGTTAATTTACAATAATAAACAATTCATTATTGTTATTTTAAAAAGAAAATAGAAACCAAGCGTAGCGTAAATGCGAGAATTCATTGTGAGGTCACAAGCTTATACCCACCCATTTATGGACGTCACACGGCTCCGCCTTCTCAACTTTGTTGGTGCAGCCTATTCTGTCTTTTACCAAATTATTTATTAAGGGTGTAATAGCTAAAGGTTTCTCGTATTGTTTTTAAAATAACATCATTTTAACCTTAATCGTTTTTATTTATCATTCCTTAATCGTGCGAGTTCGTTTGAATTGAATGCACAAGTCCATTGAAAAATGAACAAAATTTATTATTATCACAATAAAAAAAAAAAAAAAAAAAAAAAAAAAAAATTTCCCCAGATATTCGTACAGAATTACAATATCTCACAGTAGTTATCTTTTAACTACCCAAACATTCAACAGATCTTAATTCGAAATAGCTAGAGAAAGCTAATCTGTGAATTCGTTACAGTCAACAAGAGCAATTTTCTAAACAAACTCTTAAAAACAACAACTAACTGACTAACGAATTGAGAGGTTTTAATGTTGCTTATATAAACTTTTTAATTGCGCAAGAATTTTCTGGTATTTTATCGAAATCAAAAAGAGATATTTATTTATTAAATGTTAAATACACGTGCTCGTTTATTTTTAATTTCCGGCTTAGCTTTCTACTAATATTCGTCACGCGCTGCACTGCACGGAGAATAAAACAATTTAATTTGTAATTCTACCAACATTAGCTATTTAAATGCCAAATCCGTAACAATATTTTTTTCATTTAAAATTGTGTATAATAGTTGTAAATTTATTTCTATTATCCAAGATTTCTGATGAAATCAAGATGGCTGCCATTTCTGAAACACAGAGTTTCTTTGAAAATCTCGATGGTAATCATTTTTCAAACAACGTATTTCACGCGCTTTGGCGCCAAAACAAAATTCGCAAAACCATGAAGGTGGGCTTTATTGAAGCTGTTCCTTTTCGAAGAAATAATATAGCAAATGTAAATAGCAAAGTGAATATAAAAAAAAAAAAAAAGTATGGCAAAACAATGCTCTGTTGAGAATTCTAAAGATTTAAAAGATTTTGTGATTTTGTTGTTAAATTTTATACGGTGCAAATGCAAAGAAAATTATGTTTAATAAATAAAGCTAAAAGAACAAATAAAAATTTGTCTTCTAATTAAGTAAACTGAATACTATGAACTGAGAAAAGACTGAAAAAAAAAAAAAAAAAAAAAAACTGTACAGCAACACTTGACACTTTATTAGGAATTCTAAAGATATACTGCTTTGAAAAATTCTGTGAATGCTAAGTCATTGACTTGTAAATGAGAAGATAAACTATGATCACTACGGCATTTTCAAATGAAAGCATTAAAATAAATGTGTACATTGGATACATATTTTTCCTATTGTATGAGGGAACAGACTAATAAAAAATAATATTTATTAATTAACATTGAATCATAATGTTTGTAAATGTATTAGATTTTATATAGATACAATCATCCTATTCAATGTTTTAAATAGCAGCTTTAAGTAAATTGCCACTTGGTACTTTAATTAAAGCTAGTTGTTATTTAAAACATGTAACTGGTAGGACGTCATGTACTGGTCACATCAGATTTTTTTATTACTGCATCCATTTGAAGAAATCAGTTCAAGTAAATGAAACTGCAAGGGTTCATATTACATACTTTAAAAAATTCTTAATTAATGAAACAAAATGAAAAATTATACACATTTCATTACATAAATATTAACATCAGTTCAAATGAATCACAGTTTTAAGAATAATATATAAGAGAAGTAGCTACTTCCTGTAATAAGAACAATCTGAATTCTATTTAAATATAAATTTTCTCTTTCTCATTTTTCCTTTTTAATATATGCATATCTTTGATTGAGGGATTAGAGCAAAATATATGAGAGCTGCCTTTGGAATTTTCTAACAGAAACTACTGTACATTAAAGTTAGTTAAACACTAAAACTGTCAGGCAACCAAACTTCGGAAAAATAACCAGAGTTCTGTAACATTGGAAAGTCCTTATAAATTTAAAAAAAAAAAAAAAAAATCTGAAATGTTTCAGATTTTAAATTACGTCCAAAGGGACGTTTTTTTGACGTTTTGAGTGTTACCTTTATTTATTAAATATCATGTTCTTTGCACTTAAACCATAAAATTCAGTTCAAGAGCAATATCGCAAAATAATGTTAAATTAAGCATATCTTTAGAATTTCCGATATACACAGTCTCGCGAGCTGGAGATTTATAGTATTTTTTTTTCTATATAACGTTGTCATTTCTCGCTTTTAAAGCATTGAGTTTGTAAATCAAAAATTCGTTAAAGTTTTACAAAATATAAAATCTATAATAAAACAAATTCCAAATTTGGGATTTCAGATGCCCATATTCGCAGTAGGATTTCGTCATTCAAAATTCGATGGCTCTATGTACCATTGTTTTATCACAATGCGAGAAATAGACAATCATTTATGCAGATTTTTCATTATTTAATTTCTTCAAATATAATGCAGGACTCTAACATTTTTTGGCAACAGTTTGAAAAGTGAACCGACGTTTATGAGTCCGACGCAAAATCGCAAAACGAAAACAATAGTCCTTCAGGGACAAAACCCCTTTGGACTTTTTAAAAAAAAAAAAAAAAAAAAAAAAAAAGTCTATGGATATTATAAACATTAACATAATTAAAGGTGTACAACTGTACAACTTTTAAGTATTTCCACTAAACTTTAATTTCATTCCGAACTCAAGTTAATACATTTGCTTTGCATTTAACTTCTTTATACTTCAAAAGCTATAATAAACCCTTATTAACTAAAGTCTTATTATTAGCTAAATAAGCATTCACTATTAACTAAAAGTCCTTGTTTTTCATGCAGATGTTACAATCATCAAAATGTAAACAAATGAATGCAATAAACAGTACAAATAGATTAATCAGATGAGCTTATTGATTCAATCAATTTGTTATTTGCATTAAATTTATATCAGTAAAATGAAGTTCTATGTATTTTAAAATTATTTTTATATTACTTAAATACCCTAGCATGAAAATCTGACCTGATAGCATTAGCATGGCTGACAATTAAACAAATAAGAAAAATGGGAAGATTTGAAGTTTACAAAAGATATCAACAATACTGGGATCGAAAAATCACAACTGCTGACTTATATTAATTCAAGATATAAAATATGGGTATAGAAGAATTTAAAATAACTGAATAAATGTGGAAAATCATATGTACCTAATGCAAACTAATATATAAAGGTTATAAAATTAAATACAAAAATATTACTTGTAAAATCATAAAGCGATTGTAATCCAAATCTATGCCATATCTTTTCAGCAGAGCTGCAACATCTTTATATTGAGCTCGTTTGCCATTTATTTCATAGGTAGAACTGTTATCCTTATAGCCAGTTCTTGACACCGAAAATTTAGAACCTGGCAGTATCACAAAATCATTTCCCTGAAACAAACAAGTTAAAAAAAAATTCTTTAATAAAAATTTTTAAAAATACAAAGGTATAATATTAATATAATTAAAAATACTGAAATGATAAAACTGAGATGATTTAAATTACCTGATCTTTGATAGTTGCAAAATTCACAGTTACAGAACAACTCTGGAGATCGGGGTACTTGTGACTGTTGTGAATCAGTACACTTACTTTTTTAGAACGTATTTTTTGAGCACGGTAACCAAACACAAACAGTAATGAATCAATAACATTTGATTTCCCACTTCCATTTGGTCCCACTATGCAAGAAAAGTTCTACAAAATAAATAAATAAATTATTTTATAAAATAGTTTAACCATCAACAATTTCATTAATATTATTCAATTATTATTTCTGTTTTTACAAAATATATTACTTTAATACTTTACATACACACTTTGCCCCCCCCAAAGACAATTCCATATCTCCCTTTCTAGTACACCGCTTGATGAAATTTAATTTGCATTTTTCATGTCTCAAAAGCATGATTTAGAATATATATTAGGTTTATATACAGCATTGTTCTGACATAGGTATTTTGACACAAAATCAGATTTTATCTGAAATGACATATCGACTTTTCTCCATACTTCTTTTTCTTCTTTTCACTTAGAGCAAGTTTGCGAGGATGATAGATGGTCTGTATGATAATTTACACATTTTGAATCAGCAGTGCAGTACTGACTTTCATGACCAGTCACAGAACAACAATGCCATGCCATGTTTCCACAACATGCGGCCTTTGCATGATCAAACCGACACTGAAAACAGTACAGTGGGTTTGGCATGTAAGGTTTGATGGAGCAATTCTGGTAAACTGCTTTAAATGAACTTCGATAGCTCTGGAGATGAGAATGTCAGGATAATATGCTTTGTGTTAACAAGTTGCCCATTCCTATGGATTTTAATTCTGGGAGCCTCATACATGTTTTGCTCAGTCAGTTCTTTTAAAAGTTCTTTCTCGGAGATTGATATTAGGTCTATTTTTGAAATGACTCCTCTGGATGTGTTCAAAGAATTATGTGGAGACACTAATATAATGCTCACCCATATTTGTCATTTTTGGGTGCAAAGAAGATTGTGTATCAGATGTCATTTTGATGAGTAGATCCTGAATAGAGCTTTTACATGTTTTTTGGCTTGCCATTTGAGGCCATAATATGCGCATGAACAAGAAATGGAGATAAATTTTAGGGCATTTGATGCTCTTGCTAACCATGACAGAAATGCATATTCTCTTAACAGTTCCAGAATTTTTCATTTCCATGTGACTAGGAGAAGAAATTAAAGTTGCCATATCGTAAATAGAAAAGATTCATGCCCAATCAACCTACCCACCACACAGCCCAACAAGGGAGCACAGATCCCTGTGTTAGGGCTAGCTGAGCCTATACATAGATTGAAGACCCCACAGTCAGCTTGTCAGCTTTCGCAACAGCAAGAGCTTCTGGAAGTTTTTTCCCAAACCACTGAGATGTAGGACAAGTGACCAGCTGACTGACGCTAGCAGGGACAATTAAGTGCCTCTGTTTGGGCTGAAGCAGAGGTCAAAGTGTTGGAAACAGTACCTTATCCCTTAACTACCAGGATCCACCTTTCCCGACGTATGGGTCTCCACACACACCAAAATCATAAGCAGTTATTTTACCATGGTGAAAGAGAAACAGAAGAATAGTAACTGCACCTCACAGTGAGCCCCATTGTCTACAAAAAGAAACCACAAGGGAGAAAAACAGGGAGAAGCAAAAGATACCAGGAGAGGAAAAGAAAGGTCAGTGGGGTTTCAAAATCATGCCTGAACAATTCAGTGAATGTTACAGTTGTTTCTTCAGGAAGGTAATCCTCTGAAGGGCCTGCTATGCTTTAGCTGGGGATACTGGAATGGCCTTTATGCCTAGAATGGCTCTACCAGGAGATAGGTTCCTGACATACTTTGCCCATTCTGCCCAGTGACACCACCCCACCATGGTCAGGCAGCATAGCAGAACCTACGAGAGAGAGATAAATGGAAATATATTGTGACCCTTGATGAACCATGGTTTTAACCAAATGACTGCAACAAAAAATGTCTTAGCGAAAACGAAGAGAGAGGGAAAAAAAAAAAAAATGTGCAAACCTGGTTTTGACAACACAAAGAAAGTTTCAGTAATGGGTGTATGATTGTCACAGAATTCTCTTACAATGGAAAATTTTTAAAAAGAAGAGTGAAAAAAATGTTAAAAGTCAACTCAGTGCACTATCAAGGTAAAGTTTTACACCTGATATTTAAAAAGAGAATTCCAATTCTTTATCTCAATGACTTTCAAAGAGAGAGAAACTTTCTCAAAACAAAGCAACAAATCATAGTACAAAAAGTACCATTGCATTCCTTGAAAAAATGAAAATTGATTTAGATATTTCATATATTCATTTTTGACATATTTCTGAGAAGTCCCCTGACCTTTTACCTATGGACTATTGTGCCTTTGTTCTCTTGAAAAGAGCTCTTTCTAGGCACAAACCCACCATGATTGATGGACACTGGAAAGTAGAGGAAGAATGGAAATTAGTGCTACTGAGAGTTTTATGAAAAGCCCTTCTATCATGAAAATGAGAGTGCAGTCTTATAGTCCAGAAAAAAGGCCTATCAGAGAGAATGTGAAGCAAAATATTCTTTTCATTTTAAACATAAATTAAATGGCCCTGAAAACAGTCTAAAATGTGTAAACACCGTCAGCAATTTGCATGATGAATTAACTAGTCATAGAGATGCTTGATCTCTGAAAATTTTCAAATGAGGTACTCAGAACAGATATACCTTATTAAATGGTCCAATTACATGCTCTCCAGCATACGATTTGAAATCACGAACCATCAACTCAGTGATGATCAGTCTTTCTTTAGTGGCATCATATGTGAGTGCAGGTACTGGAGGAGGAGGTATGAAGATATCCTCAACATCTAAAAAAAAAAAAATCACATATTCAGTTTAGTTAATAAAGGAGATCCTGTAAGAGAAAAACATTCTAAATGAAACAGTAAAAAACAAAGCATTATGAAAAACCTAGAATAATATAAATACAGTGGTATGAATTACTACTGTATTTATATGAATAGACTGAATTTGATTTTTCTAAAATCTTTCATATATGAAGAGTAAAGAAATATTAAAAGCTACTTATTTTAAATTAAATACTGATTTTGTTCAGTGAATGTTAGTTGTTTCTATAACTGTTTAAAATTAACTAAGTAATAGTCGGCCTGCATTGGAAAACATTCTGGGCCAAACTGGTAAGAATTCATTCCAGAATGTTCTCAATCCGTCTATGGCATATCGACAACTTTGTAGCCAAACGGGCGATTTTGTGCCAAATATGGCAACCATGCTGTACCTTGCCATTCTCTGGCAACCTTAAACAAGCCTTGCGGAAAGCTATCTTACCACGGCTGGGCATTTCATAACAATATATTCTATATCAGGGGTGGCCATGGCATGGCTCTTATGTAAATAAAATATATTTATCAAATAATGGTGAACTAAAACTGTTCAGCGTGCAAAAGAAAGTATTTAATTTATTTCATTCTTTTTACAAAATTGGTCATAAATTTAAACTGATCAATGTCCAGATGCAATTATTTCAATTCATTTCTTATTAGTTTAAGAAACATAACAATATTATTTGAAAACATAATATACATTTTATCAAATAATTTTATAAAGAAAATCTTTAAAAGTTAGATTTGCTTGTGGACAGAAAATGTCTGTGAAATTTCAGAAATATTAGAAGCAGTAGACACAAAATTTGAGTGGTTAGTGAGAAGAATAGAAAATGCACGTGTGTGATGCATCAGAAACTTTTAATACTTTACAGAATTTGATACAAATTAAAAATAATTTAGAAGCTGTTTCAATGTCCGAATTGGTGAGAAATTTACCATGTTTGGAAGCTTTGGGAATTTCTAATAAATCTAATGACAGTCACAAGATGATGTTACTTTCAGAAAATTTCAAGAATCCGTAATATTTGAGGATAACAGATATTTGAGAAATAACAGATATTATTGCGTTATTTTCTTCCTTCATGTTCGTATGGGGTTTATAGATTTAGAGTGAATAGTGACGACACTTGATGAAGTATCGAAACACACTTTATTTAGCCAATATTAATCAAAACAGCTCCAAAGTCATGTTTTACAGTTTTCGAAGAGCTACTATACACTCGCTGGAACAATCAGCGACACAGCCTTCAGGTTACCAGGCTATAACGGTGGAGACAGCTTCACCACAAAGCACCAGAGTGCAGCTTTCTACTCTGCTTGGTCGTTCTCGGAACTCCCCGTACTCTCCACACTACAACTTGCGGTGCACTCGATGACACACAGAGCACAGCTCCCGACTCTTCAGTTCAGTCGTTCCCAGAGTTCAACACACTCACTCGACGATGCACTAATCTCGATATACGAAGAGACTCTTTCGATGCACTCGATGACCCACTCAGCACTTGCTGCCCGGTTGTCAACTCCATCGACTCTCTAACTAGAGACTATCTCGCATTGACTCTCCGCGTACCAGCAGGGTTTATATAGTTTTTGGCTTGTGTTTGAGATAATTTTGGGCTAAACTGGTAAGAATTCTTTCCAGAAGGTTCTCCATCCATCCATGGCATATCGCCAATTTTGTCACCAAATGTGGCAACCCTGCCTTCTTTTGCCATTTTATGGCAATCCTAAACCTGCTTTGTGGGGAAACTATTTTACCGCGGCTAAACATTTCACCCCTTCCCAAGGACTGCACATTCTGGGTAGTACAATCTTTAATTAAGACACAATAACACACCGAACAAGTACCAATTCAGAAGTTAAACAACAAAAATCAGCATTAATTTTGAAAATTTTCACAAACCATCAAAACTAGTTCTTTGAAAATTTTGAAAATTATTGCTGATTTTTGTTGTTTGACTTCTGAATTAGTACAATCCTTGTTCAGAAGCATAATTCAATACAAAGAAAAGGTAATAACACAAACAAATAACATAACTAAAGAAACAAATATTTACACTATGTACAAGTTATATACGCAAATTAAACACATAACAATTTCAAATAATACAAATTAAAGTTCTGAATGAATTTCAGTCTCAGTCTTTTCATTGAGTTATACCCGGGTCAAATACTCTTTCACTGCAATTCTCAGATACATTTATGTTTTGCACAATCTGAAGATTCAGTCCTTTCAGACTTTTCATCCATAGGAAGATCTGAAACTGTTTGTTCACCACACTGTAGTTTGTTCGCATCATGTGTACAGTTCTCCTCAGTATTTTCAGCAGCTGGTACATGTTCATTTTCCTCGGTTTCCTGGGAACCAGCTCCAAATTCTGCATCAGAATCATGAGTAAAGCCCGATACTTTACAAACGCAAGTATCCTGGTTTAGAATCAAGTCTGTGTTTGCATAATCTGTATTAGGAGACACACACTCAGATTGTGGAGTGGGTGAATTTTCTTGCAATACTGGAGCACACTGCACATATTCAAAACAAGCTATTATCATAATCACTTAAGAACAACTGATAAACTACTTTCGAGAAGCAAAGTTTCTATAATAATATAACATCAGAGAGATATAAAAGTTAGCCAAATGCTGCATTTTATTATTTTAACAAAAATAATTAAAATATATTTCAACAACCTTTACATTTTTACAGACAGTGAATATGGCTAAGCTGTGTTTAATTTACCGTAATTTCCAGAAAAAACGCCGCAGCATTTATGTGTTTAAAACTTAAATTTTCAGCGGGTGCGGCGTTTAGGTGCACTAAAAATAAAATATTTCCTATGATGGTCATTGTACATAGTTTGGATGGCCTTGTCATTGTGCATAGACTTGTGCTGTTCCCACACAAAAGACCACTCAGTTGCTTTTTGCAAACGTCATTTTGTTTACATTCTTTCCCTTGAACAGACCTACATGCCTTATTCACCCTAAACGAGATCTCGAGAACAATAACATTCTTCCCCCTTTCAAATCAACATTCTCATCAGTTTGAATAGTCTCTCTGCCATTCGATGGCAGAGAAGCATTCTCATCTGAAGACTGAATCAGCATTCTCATCAGTCTCTCTTCTCTGCCATTCGATAATTCTTCCAAAACCCATCCTCTCCCCACCCTCTGCCTTTTCCGCATTATAAATCTATTACAATTTTTTTCAAAGGCGGACTCCACCACCTGCTTTCCCAATAACGAACTCTGACGTATTTTCCCCTTCAGCACATGAATCGATTTTTCTTGGCATTCTGCCAGATACAGATCCCATCAGTTTGGGTACAAGTACTTGTCGGATAGTTTTTAAGTAGCGGAAGGAGTTTTTGGAAAATTTTTGAAAATGTCACCTAAATGGCACAGAAGCTATACTGCTGGTTTTAAGCTTAATGTAATTTCACGTGCTGAACAAATTGGAAATCGAGGAGCAGCTTGAGAGTCTGAAGTGGATGAGAGATGTATTCAACATTGGAGAACTGAATAAGAACTTCTTAAAAATATGCCACAACAGAAACGAGCCAAAACAAGTGGTACTGTAAGGTGACCGAATCTAGAGGACGACCTTGCAAACTGGATAAAGGAGCAACGAGGAAAGGGAATGGCAATTTCGACTGTAAAAATTCGCTTACAAGCAAAATTTATAGCAAAACGAATGAACATAAATGATTTCAAAGGAGGTGTAGCAGATTTATGAAAAGAAAAAATATTTCTGTGCGTACTAGAACAACAGTCGGGCAACAATTACCAATGGACTGGCAGGATAAAAAAGCATCTTTTCTAAAATATATGACAGATATTATTGACAAAGACAAAAAAAAAAAAAAAAAAAAAAAAAACACTTCTTTGGTCACAGATAATAAATATGGATGAAACGCCGTTAGCTTTCGACTCTTCTGCAAACAGAACTGTTGATGAAACTGGTGCAAAAACTGTATCTGTGCTTACGACAGGGCATGAAAGAACTTCATTTACACGTGTGTTAGCTTGTGCCGCAAACGGTGACAAGCTAAAGCTGATGATCATTTTTAAATGAAAGACTATTCCGAAGGGAGATTTTCCTAATGGCGTAATTATTTGTGCAAACGAGAACGGCTGGATGTGCAAAACAGTCATGCATGAGTGGCTACAAAAAGTTTGGCAGTGTCGTATGGGATCTTTTTTCCAACCAAAAGGGTTATTGATAATGGATTCCATGCATGCTCATTTACTTGAGTCAGAGAAAACCAGATGTCAAAAATTGTCTACGACCGAAGCAATAATTCCTGGTGGTTTGACAAAAATCTTACAACCGTTAGATTTGTCAGGTAATAAATCCTACAAAGCTGAAGTCCGAAAGCGGTGGGAGTGTTGGATGAGTGAAGGATTGCATACGTATACCAAAAGTGGTAAAATGCGTAGAGCATCTTATGAAGAAGTTGCAAAGTGGGTACGAAGTGCGTGGAAATCGGTAAAAACATCGTCAATAATAGCAGGGTTCAAAGAAGCTGAAATTATATCCTTAGATAAAGAGACTGTAAACCAAGAAGATGAATGTGACGATCTGGAAGACTTGGACTTAGATCAGGATTTACTAAATCTTTTTAATTCAGATAGCGAAGAATCAGATTTTGATGGCTTCATATGATGTATAGTTTGCTATGATGTATAATCGTATGATGTATATTTAATTCCTTTTGTACGTAAAATTTAAAATTTCCTTTTGTCATCCAAATTTAATATTTGGTTGTTGCAACATTTTTTATAATATAGTTTGAGTATTACAAATATGGACTTCTTTAGTGTGTAAATATAAGTATATACGTGAAGGTAAATATATTTTCCACATTTTTTACCTTTAATTTATTTTTGAGTTATGGTTTCATTTCATGCCTTTTTCTTAACTGGTATGTCATATATTAGGACTTAGGTTGAGATTTTGCATCTATACAGCCCACGACGATGTCACGCGCAATTTAATCTATTGCGGCGTTTACGTGTAATTTTAATTTTTTTCCCGCCATTTTTCTCGAGTGCGTCGTTTACGCTGATGCGGCCTTTCTTCCAGAAATTACAGTAGTTAATTTGTTAATTTATGTAATTTTAGTTTTCATTATTGTTTTTAGTTTTATTTATCTTTTATTATTATTTTATTCCTTTTTAATTTTTATATATGCAACACTTTCTTTTTCATTAGCAGTGAACTCTATAGTGGCATTACGATTATTTACAAGAAAAATAAAAAACATTGCACATACCAATCACAGCAAGCCATACAAATTAAGCAACAAGTTTGACAGAATTTCAAAAGCTGAAATTTGTGCTGACGTAATACATGTGCAACTGTTCGTAGATTCCCAGATAAATACCTTTTGAAAAATTTGTTTTTGTCTATTTTGCTGATGTAGTGCGATGCCCTCCTCTTCTCACTGTTGGACAGACAATCAGACAGTTCCCATAGTAAGAAAGAACATTAACCCTCTGATGGCATGACTGGGTTAGATATCAAGATGACCTGTGTCAAAACGTGTTGAGGCCCATCCACACGAGTACGCTCACGACGTAGTTGATGCAACTTTTTTTACTCCGGCGTAAATTCTCGTGACGCAGAAGACGTAAAACTGAGTTCGCTCCTGTTCAGCTTTTTCGCCCGCGTATAGCCATAGCCGACCGAGTTCTTATCACGTGTCATAATCAGAAAACCTTCTTGCTTACCCGTTTCAATATGGCGTCAGAACCACACAGAGATGAGAGTTTTTGCTTAGAAATATCATAACTGTATACATCAATAAAATAATCAGCATTGTTCGCACCATCTTCAGATTTCTCAAACCGTATTTTTTTGTATAAATTTAAAATTTTCATTAAAGGAGAAAACTGTATATTTATAAAGCAATGATCCGACCAGTATATCCATATGCTTCACCTATTTATAACACCGTAAGTAATAGGAACCTAAATAAATTATAAGTTTCTGCCTAAATAAATTATAAGTTTCTGCCTTACAAAATTCTCCTTAATTATTATAAATATTGGCTATATCATATGTAATAAAACACTCTATAAATATCCCAATATTAAATAAACCAAAAACTAACTTCAGCAATATAACAACTTCTAAAATAAAGCAGTTGACTGAGAAAGAGTATTCAATAAAACAGAATTACGAAATTTTGGAGGAAAGTTACAACTTGTGTCATACAGCAATCATTTATTGAAGTTTAATTAAATTACCTTTGCAGTGACTTCTACTTGTTACATTATTTTTCACAAACACTGCAACCACAGATAGCTGAGTGGTCAGCGCGCTGCTTTACAAATAGAAAGGTGGCGAGTTCGAACCTCACCCGTAGACAGTATACAATTCAGTTAGCTTTTCTCATTTTGAACATGTTTCTTATATTTAATCATGAATCATTATATTCTTATTTTACCTATTATTATTGTTTTCATTTCTTCTATTTTATTCATTATTATTATTGTTTTTAATTTAGTTTAAAAATGTGCAGTGCAAATAGAAATCCTTATGTAATAATATATCTGCATCTCTTTATGATATATCATCTATAAATTCTCTCTTTATTTTTACTTTATTGCATATTTTATCATGCACATAATTTCTCATAAACTGTCCAAAGTTTGAACCTCATTCTAAATTCAAAATTAAATAAAAAGAAAAACAAAAGACCAAGGGAGGGGGAGTTAAAAAATTTGAAGTTGGTTTTATTATATGGTGGATGGTGTATATAAAGAGAATTAAGTAATTTAATTCTCTTTATATACTGTATTCCAAACGAATTTTATAAATCCTAATTTTCGAATCTGCAAGTGTGTCAAACTGGTCGATACTCATCCTGAAGTAATTAAAAAACAAGTAATATATTTAAAAAAAGTCAATTCCTACTTAGGTCTACAAAGAAAAATTAAAAGAATACAATAAATAAATAAATAAAAATACAAACAGAATTTTTTTTTAATTAAAAATTTTAATATGTGAAAAAGCTGTATTAACTTCAAGTGTCATTCACTACAAGTTTAAAAAATTGTATTTGAACTTGAGTGGATGAATAAAAAGCATTTTATGTACTGAAAATTTGAACAAGATATAGGGAGAGTGTGAGCTAATAGTAGGAATTTAATAATTCCGGATATTTCTTTTTCGCAAACGAGGCAGCAAAAAAAAAAAAAAAAAAAAAAAAAAAAAAACTCTTTGAACAGGTCGCTCTAAATAAATCGTTCGGACCCATTCTTGCCATTTTTTTTGTGGTTTTGCCTCTGCTTAATAATTGCACTTAATAGTAAAGTTTCAGCTATATATATATATATATATATATATATATATAAAAAAAAATCTGATCTGGACAACTTGCCGCAAACATACAGAAGCACAGCAAAGTAATAAGATACAGCTCTGTTGACACTATATTACAGCGTCACGTGATTTTTGCGCAAAAGAATTCTATTGCTTAAATGCACTCTTCGCAAGCACACTCGTTTGGACGCTTTTACGCTGGTAACGTAAAAGCGCGTTCGTC